GTATATACGATTTCAAGGTTTTCCGCGCAAAGCCTATTTCTAATGCATCTAACTCGTCTGCCAACGTATTGAATAGCTGACAGTGATTATATCATGTAACTTGACAATTCCCTCTGTCAGGTACGAAAAATGTACAAAATCAATGACTCCCCCTCAGTACATGTGTACAAAATTGATGAAACACTTATGAAACATATGTAAATACATAGTTGAGTGTTCGTGTATTTCAACACCTCCGTAAACGTGTGCAAATCTGGCAGCCAAATGGTGCGGAGATTTGAAACGTTGTTCATGTGGCTGCCGAATGGTACGAAGATATAAAACGTTGTTCATGTGGCTGCCGGATGGTACGAAGATATAAAACGTTGTTCATGTGGCTGCCGGATGGTACGAAGATATAAAACGTTGTTCATGTGGCTGCCGGATGGTACGAAGATATAAAACGTTGTTTATGTGGCTGCTGGATGGTACGAAGGTATAAAACGTTGTTCATGTGGCTGCCGGATGGTACGAAGATATAAAACGTTGTTCATGTGGCTGCCGGATGGTACGAAGATATAAAACGTTGTTCATGTGGCTGCCGGATGGTACGAAGATATAAAACGTTGTTCATGTGGCTGCCGGATGGTACGAAGATATAAAACGTTGTTCATGTGGCTGCCGGATGGTACGAAGATATAAAACGTTGTTCATGTGGCTGCCGGATGGTACGAAGATATAAAACGTTGTTCATGTGGCTGCCGGATGGTACGAAGATATAAAACGTAGTTCATGTGGCTGCCGGATGAACATTCATTTCCGGCGTAAGTAAATTTGAGAAATACTGTTCCTTCGTGTGGGGTTTTTGAACCATAGTATAGCTCAAAACCTATTTTTAATCCTATGTCATAGGATTGCAGTACCCTGAAGTACCTTCCAGAACTCTGTGGACACACATGTCTAAATATACACAATCATGACATATCGATGGGGATGGAAACACCATTCTTTATCCCAGATAGCATTCGGACGTTGGCCCTACGTTGGCAATGTTGTCAAAACCATTGCCAACGTTGGGCCAACGTCTGCATGCTATCTGGGATGTTTGATTTGTGCAAACATGCTTGCTTACTCACTTATTAAATCATCAAAATACTATATTTATGTCTGTTATGCCCATATGCAGAAGACTAAAAAGGCAGTATGTTCGTTTGGGTGGTTTTCCGTCAATGTTTTCCAAAGATGGATTACCCTGGTTACTAGGACTGATCACGATCTGTCCGGATTTATTCAACCGGAAGTGGGGAAATCCCTGCAAACGTGAGGATTCCCCCCGGCAGCCATTAACATGTTTGTTTGTTGTAGGTACGGAAGTCATATTAGAAACGCGTGACAGAAAACAGGTAATGACTATTTATTTCAGATGAGTATTTGGCAGCGTTCAGGTCTCCGAAACTTAAACATGCAGCATGTGTATTGTGGAAAATAATGTTTTACAACAACATGATTAGGGACACGCCTTTTTACTTAGTTTCCCTTCGTATGTCTTATTTGTTGATGTGTTTAGTCACTTGAAAGCTTGCAGACTTTTTCAATGTATATAAAGTGCATGAATCAGTTGAAAATTCAAAATAAAGAATACCTCTGCTGATGATTTTCAATATTTGTCACTTGATTGCCTAAATTCTTCCTGGACAAGCTGGGGCAAGTAAGAGTAACCCAATGATCCCAATCCCATTTCAGCCCGTCTTTGCAAGTTCGCTTTCTATTTTTTTTCTCAGTAGATTGTCTATTTTTGTTGATTGTAATTCAAGTAAACATGATCAATGCAGTTTAATTGTTTATTGACAGTTATTATAGGGTTGTAAAAAAATAATTATATCTAAATGTGGTCATATATTTCTTATAATGAGTTAATTACATCGAAAGGGTGTGGTGACATTTTGCCGAAAGAAACCACTGACGATGCAGAAGGTTTGGGCAGATTTGACATACACATAACTGTGTGAATTAAATCATATTGATGGGGCAACTTTGAAACCAAATAAGACATAGCCTACCTATAGAAGTCATGACTACTAACACATACAATTACAATATATTCATGTAGTTTGTTAAATTCTATTGTAACATACACAGGTGAAACAATACCCAGTGACATCAGGCTAGCAAAAGGTTTGCTGGGGTGAGTGCATGGGCACAAGCTTCTCTCAACATCTCCTAAGAGATCCACCACTGCATCACATCCAAAAGCAGCCTGTCCAAACACTTTCTACAGTAGGATAGCTTTTGCAATAAATCAGGGTGGCTATTCTCGGAACGTTCGTAACCCAATTCTTAACACATTGGCTTCGATGAAAGTTAAGAATTATTAACGGCTACTAACGTTTCGAGAATAAGGGCCCAGATGATTATTGATTTGAAAATTGTGTTATTGATAATATGGTACATTAACTTTGTGAAAGAACTTTTTTGAATTTTCTCACACAATATACAAAGTTTTGGACTTTATAAATGGTCTGCTTCCAAGTTATGTTCAGGATGCTGTTTTGTCAATGCTATAATAGTTAATGCAAATACGTGTCACCACTCACCAGTGATGTGAAATATATTCATTACTTTCAGACATTTTTGCATTTTTGCTCAAAATTACGTCTTCGATAATTGATCGATATTTTGTTATCAATTATCGATCTCTTTGATCTATATCAATAGCCAGCCCTGCCAGTAGCCTTCATAAGTGACCCTCACTGTACATTTCTGTAATCATGGTAATGCCTCAGTGATTCCAAGGTTAATCTGTATTCAGTAAAACAGTCGCGATATTGTTCAGTCAGTCAGCTGTCGGGCTAACATTACAATCAGTAAATGTATTGACTTCCATAAATGTAATGTCAGTCAACGTTTTCATGTACTGAAACTCCAAGTTTGACACAAGTGATCGGTAATTTTCATTTCTTCCAAGGTAATTAATGGTCAAGTAGCATATTGTCATTATCATGATTATTGTGTACACACATCAAGTGCTTGACCGACTTAAAGTCAAAATAAAACTTCAGTTTCCATTATAATTATAGGTTGATTTAAAATATTTGGTACTAATATTTTCCCTCATTAATCATATTAAAGTTACATGCTAGTTTTGATATTTCTCAATCTGTGATTGTCTAGTTATTTTACTGTCCTTCATCGACAGGTTTTTATGATTTAACTGTGTTCATCATGAATCTACCGGTATGACTTGTTTGAGCCACAATATGTCGGAAATATTGCCGATGTGACTAAAAATCTTAAGTTACTCACACACTCTTAATCATATTTTCATGTTGTTTTTTTGTAATATCAGATGGCTTTTCTATCTTGGAATCATATTTTGTACAGCAAGTAATAGTAATGACAGTACAGACTTGAGTGTTCAATGTCAGATGTATGTGATGACTTTTATGGGGCCACACAATCTCATTAGATTTTACAAAAAGTGGGTGCCCCCAGACTATCACCTTCACCTCAGATTTTGGAATACAGACAACATCTATAAACAGATGAACACTAGGGCTGCAACGAATACACTATGTGGCGAATATGATAAGTATCATGAATTTTGGGTAACGAATACGAATGATTATTAACGAATATATACTGTAGTTATGTGATTGATGCACTTTATGGAACGTCCATGTTGATAGTTTTGATTTGTCACAGCAATAACCAGTGATCTCATGAGACTCAAATTTGGTATGTAATAGTTATAGTCGACAGTACCATGTGCAGTCTTGGCAAACTAATATGACTTGCACTACTGCAATGCTAGTACATGTTCCATTCTTGCATATCTCACTTTGGAAAGGACATAAGGGTTCAAGTAAATTTAAAAAATCGTAAATATTCGTTAATATTCGGTTCTGGTGACCACGAATAACGAATTGAATTCATGAAGGGCTACGGTTCGATTCAGCGAATATTCGAGTGAATCGTTACAGCCTTAATGAATACAAGACGTTACAGCAACAGAAACACTCTGGACACTGGTTGATAGATCATCTTGGGAAGTGGATGGTTTGAGCCGATTCTGCAGCTGACACTTTCATTAACATGATTAATATATCTAACTAAACCTGTGGGTGTATACTGTAATAGTTTGTACAAGAGCTCACCATGTTCACTGTTGTCCAGCTTTTATAGTATGTATTGTTACAATGTTGTTCTTACAAGGCTCGGGGGCGGTGGGGTAGCCTAGTGGTTAAAGCATTGGCTCGTCACGCCGAAGACCCGGGTTCGAATCCCCACATGGGTACAATGTGTGAAGCCCATTTCTGGTGTCCCCCGCCGTGATGTTGCTGGAATATTGCTAAAAGCGGCGTAAAACCAAACTCAGTCAGTCTTACAAGGCTCGAATTACGCATTTATGACTTGCAGTTGCACTATTGCAACGTACATATAACCCTGTAAAGGCAACCTCACAGATACCAAATTGCACCCTGTGCATTTCAATATTTTGCTGTAAAAATAACACAGACTTCAGCCAAAAAAAACCCGGGTTTACAATAAATAATTGCTACTCCGAATCCAAAGTCTGGTAAAATTATATTCCACCTGGTTAGTTTAGCATGGTTAGTCTAACCTGGTTAGATTCTCCATATTGTAAACTCTGAACAATGATGGTGCAGGCCATGGTCTGGCTATTAGACCAAAAGTTGTAGGCATAGACGACTGATATGGCAATTCAGAATCTGATAAATATGATAAACATGGTAAAAGTATTGATAAAAAATTACATGCATTCATTGCTTTTTCAGGTACAGGACTTAGGACTTGAATAGTATCAAGGTCTCACTGAAGGTCACATCAAGGTCGTACTGAAGGTCACATCAAGGTCGTACTGAAGGTCACATCAAGGTCTCACTGAAGGTCACAGGCTGCTGTGAACATTCCAAGTTAGCCATGGCCTGCTGAGTACTGATGTTGAGGGGGGTGCGAGCAGTGAGGTACTATTTAGTTCACCTCTCCCATCAGGTCATGCAGAACATCAAAGATTTCAAGCTCCAGTTCACAATACAGTATGTGGGCTACATCCCCGAGATCATTCTCCTGGTGGCCCTCGGCCTGGGGCTGTACATGCAGTGGTCTCACACCAAGAACACCGCCATCGCCGTCATCTCGCTGTTTGGACTCTTTGTGTTCGGAATATCCTGTGCCCTGCGGTACTACTTCAGCATGCAAAGTGTCGGAAACGCCCTGTTCCACATCTGGACTGGATGCCTTGTTGGGATTATCGCCTTCTCTGAAAATGATTACGATGATGTGTTACATGAAGTTATGGAGATGCTGTTCCTTACCAGTATGGTGTCCATGTGGTTCTGGAATATTTTCGGGGAGGATCATGCATTTAGTGAAGTTGGACGCATGTATACTGACTCAGTCAGAAGGTCTTGAATCTCTGGGACTTGTCATTGCCACCTTTGCAATGGACACATCTAAGGGGCTTCCCATGTCCATGTTGATCGTTGCCTTCACCATGCACCTCATCGCATTACGAATGAAATCTTTTCTTGGACTCATCAGCTTCGTGAGTCTACTCTGTGTTGGAGTCTTTGTCTTCTTTCCTGGATTCCACATGTCCCCGAACAAATACGCGCTGATCTATTTCATCGGACGTCACTCATTCCAGCCAATCATTGACTTTTATTTCTCAGCATTGACCACAATTGAGCGATGGAAGCCATTTTTTTAACATGTCTAAGTTGCTTCGTTATTTGATTGTTCTGTTTGTGTTTGGCCTTGATCTGGTCCTTGCTTCCTTGATTGGGATTCAGAGCTTCAACCATAAGGAATGGTTTGTGGTAGTGCCAGTTTTTGCAGTATTTGCCTTCATATGGATTTTGTTTCATGTTATTTATTTCATATCTTGCTGGAAACTGATGGGCAAGATAACAGAATGTAACCTGACATATATAAGCCTAGCCGACGAACAACAAAGTTACAACAGAATAATGGCATCCAAGGGTATCCGCCATTTTGGTCTGATCTCGCACAGACTGATATGCCTTTCTTTAACTACAACGATTATTCTGACGGGTATTGGATGGGAGACACGGACTGGGTACAGTCTGAGCTTGGCTTGGATTGTATTGCCCATTGAAGCCATGTCCTTGAGTCTGTTCTCGGAACTCGGGGACTTCCTTGGAGGGACCTGCACAGGATTCGGCGTCATTGCACCAGTCACAAGCATCAGGTAGGAATTCATTTATTTTCAAGCCCATTCTTCGACATGTTTGAAAATCTTGTACTCCAGATTGTTCCCGAGGCTAGTGGAAACTATATTTCACTAATTGTCAAAATTTGTAATTAGTCCTGCTTGAACAAGACCAAACTGTTTTCTAGTCACAGTCCGGGTTCGATTCCCCACATGGGTACAATGCGTGAAACCCATTTCTGGTGTCCCCCGCCGTGATGTAACTGGAATATTGCTAAAAGCGGCGTAAAACCAAACTCACTCTAGTCACAGTTGTACATGATGTGTTCCTGACGGCCTCCCATCTTTTGTATGTGCAGTGGCATTAATTCACTCTGCCTTTGACACTTCTTGATTCAATCACCTTGACATTAATGACAAGCCTACTGAAGTGCAAGCTCAGCAAGGTTGATATAATGATAAAACATGACAGAGCATCCCATTTCATCCAAGTGTCATAGTTATTGTCAATCACAAATTTTCTATCAGCAGTTTGTTTCAGGCAACAAAACAGAAGCATTGAGCATGTTGAGGACAGGTTCAGAACAATAGCTCTTTGACAATTTGTCCAGTTACGATTCGCTTGCATATTCGTTTAATTAAACCATGTCCCTTCATGAATTCAGTTCATAATTTATGGTCACTAGAATCAAATGTTTTTGAATGTTATAAAAAGAGTGTTTTTCATTTGAAGCAAATCTGATATATCATGTATATATGTAAGTGTGATACGCAAAATGGAATTTATACAAGCCATACAATAGTGTAAGTTAGTGACATCTGGCTATGACTTTTATAAGCAGCACTGTAGTGATGTATTTTATTTTTGGCTTACAAAAATATCATTGAAATGTTTCAACCTGAGCAAAATATATATTAAATTTGCATGTTATTGTTAATTAACACAGAGCATTCATGAATAAATATTCGTATTCGTTACCCTATATTCGTGAAATAAATTGTATTCATCTTAAAGTGTATTGGAGGGTTTTTCCCCTCAGCACAATTTATATGATTCATTAGACTTATGTATGCCAACATATGCCTTTATTAATTTGGGGCGGTGGGGGTAGCCTAGTGGTTAGCTTGTCACGCTGAGACCAGGTTCGATTCCCCACATGGGTACAATGTGTGAAGCCCATTTCTGGTGTCCCATGCCGTGATGTTGCTGGAATATTGCTAAAACAGCGTAAAACCAAACCCACTCACTCGCTTTATTAATTTGTGTATTTGTTTGCTTATCAACAATATTATGTTTATCTGTATTCAAAGTGTTACCAAGATGACTCAATTAATCTGTTATTCATGAAATTCACATATTCATCATTGTTCATGGGGTGGTGGGCTAGCCTTGTCGTTAAAGTGTTTGATTGTCATGCGGAGGATCCAGGTTCATGTCTGGTGTCCCCTGCTGTGATATTGCTGGAACATTGCTAAAAACGGTGTTAATCCATACTCACTGACTCACACATTCATGTTTGTCAATATCAGACCAAATGGCCCTGCCAAGCTCCTCTCTTCGGCGTCCCTCCAAGACATGACAAATCGTGCCACCAACACACTCAACCACATCCACAAGTTGTTCGGCTTCCACATGGTTGACAACTACGGCTGTGACTACTCCACCAGCGGACTGAGCGACGACTACCTGAAGAGCAAGGTGAATGCCTTCTTTGAGCGGCGGACGGCAGATGGGCCACGCTTTGATACCTACCTGCTGTACTACAGTGGTGAGGTGTATGAGAACGGAGATCTAGCACTAGCAGGTGAGGCTTCAATGTCAGAAATGTTTACTTGAGTACATGTATTTTGGTTCTGTTATTTAAGTTTGACACCATGCTCCATAATAGAACTGCTGTGTGACAGTGGTCTTTAAATATTCATGTCTAGACCAGACAATCCAGTGAGTGCTCAGCAGTAGAACGAATGTGTGACAGTGGTCTCTAAATATTCATGTCGTGACCAGACAATCCAACGAGTAATACAGTTTTATGCAGAAAATATGTTACGAATCATGAAAGATTCAATGGTAGTTTATTACATTTAGTGTGTATAGGGCCTGTAAGTCTCGAAGGGCGCTTCTTCCAGTACTGAGCTGGTTCCGGCTCCCGTTGCATGCCAACTTGCGATATGTGCGACGTGACCCAGCTTACATTCGGTACCAGATTTCCGTTGACAAGCGTATATTCAAGAACCAGTTCTGGTTCCAAATTGCAAGACACGCCAAATATGACTTTACTAGACCAGACCAAGTGTACAACCATGCCTGTCACAGCTGTTGACAGTCGTAATAGTTGGGGATGGAGATTGGAAATTTGTTATTCCTGCAAGAATGATAAGTTTCTTACTGTCAACTGACAAGCATGACACAATTCGAAAAGGTATGAAGTCTCATGAACATGATGAAGTGCCTTGACTGACTACTTATGGGCCTTGTATCATGTTTACTAACTTTCTTTGCTGTAAATGCTGACATGACTGTTTCAGACAACAAGAACCTGAAGCCCGAGACCTTGCTGGAGTGGTGGTCAGCAAAGAATGATGGCAGTGGTTCTCGCCTCATCATCGTCCTGGACGCTGGCCACTACACCACCTGGACACGCAACGTACGTAACTGTGTCGACGAATTTGTCGCCATCCAAACCTGCAAGTACTCAAAACCCACTGACCTTGAGTCCAGCGGACCGAGAGGGGTGGGGAGTTTCACAGAGGACTGGGTCAACTACAATGTGGGCAAGGACGTTGACCCCAGCTGGACAGACAAGGCCAGACTGACCCATGCCATCTACGTCCTGTCCAAAAACTGGACCGACTTCACTTTCCATCTACCTACCTCGGAAGACTTTGCTCAATATTGGGACACCAATTTCCCCAAAATCACCAAGCCTTTGATCAAAGCTGTCAATCTTCCAAGCTTTGGTGCTATTTGTTGTATGTGTACGAGTATTTTACGTTGTTTGCGTCGTAAACAGATGAGATGGCTTCCTCCTAAAGAGATTGACACAGGCCATGGGTTTAAACTGGTCAGGACTTAAGTTATTATTTGTCTTAGGTACGTATCACGTATTGATGGTTGGCTAACTACTGGTGTAACTTTGTCTACATTTGTCATGAAAATGATGTACATTTTGGTTTGAGTCATGGCCTTTATGTTGTCTGGCTGTTTTAAGTTATTCTGTATAGTTTGTTTGTATTGAAGTGGCTGTAGTATTGTCTAGCCTCATGCATACTGATACATGTTTTATATATATGCACACACAGGTGCCACGCACATCACATGGTATTAGTTACTGGTTTTAAATCAAACAGCCAAATGTCGGGGGTTACTTCATGTTTGACAAGGTTTTCTAACTTGTGTTTCACAATTTTAACTTAGCCATATCATCATTATTCTAGTTTGTCCTATTTTGGGGTTAATGTTGATAATTTTATGAGATTTTATATATATTTTTACATACAATGTTGCATATGACTGATGCATATTCTGTACATGTGCAATGTTGCACACATGCATATTCTGCACCTGATGTGCAATGTTGCACATGACTGATGCCTATTCTGTACATGTGCAATGTTGCACATGACATGCCTATTCTGCACCTGATGTGCAATGCATTGTGACATGTGCTCATAATGTACGAAACTGCACATGACTGGTGCTATATACATATGGGTATACCAAATGAACAAAGGGAATATAGTTTCAATGTAAATTATAAGTCTTGCACAAATTTCTTCCCCAGTATCTTGAAAAAGGGACTTTCCATTGTAAAGCTATCTTGATCATGTTGACATGGTAATATTTGCACCATGAGAAACTAAGACATCCTTTCTGTCAGCATAATACAGGATGGTTGGGTAGGCCAGTGGTTAAGGCATTTGCTTGTCACGTCAAAGACCTGGGTTCGATTCCCCACATGGGCACAATGTGTGAAGCCCATTTCTGGTGTCCCCGCCATGACAAGGGTGGAAATAACTTTAAAATTGCTAGTGCACTCCGGTACAGTGGCACATGTAAAATCACTTGCCCTGATCATTTTTCCACTATCGCGGCCGTTTTCTTGTTGCTTTTTAAAATAAACAACATTATTAACATTGGAAAGTCAACTGGACACCGGTACAGTGTGATATACAAATTTGCTTGCCCGACAGAAAAAAACACTGGACTCGGACGTCGGGCAATGGGTTATTTCCACCCCTGCATGATTTTGCCGGAATGTTGCTAAAAGCGGCTCAGACAGTCTCTGTCATACCATGTAGAGGGTAATGGCTCTGAAAGAGTAACTGTTAAACAGTGTCAGATGGATGGATGGATCATGCGACAGTAGATTGAACACATGAGGTGACGTAATGTCTCTTTCAAGATTATTTACATATATAGCAATGTGAACTGAATAACTAGTACCAGAACAACAAGTTTGTTAGAATTGCCAATTTGCTCAAGCCTTTTCCCTTTAGAATAACAAGATTCTGCAAGAAATGGTGTTTGCTGTCAACGTTGTTATGCAGTGATAGAAATCCAAATTTGTCCCAATTCTGTTTTTATGGATTCAACTATAGTAGGGTGTATTTCATCATTCTGAGTCGATGCTGCTATTACAGTAGAATTAGATAAAGATTGACGCTATCTAAAGACGCTGGTCAAATGGAGTCCTCTTCCTTTATAAGTAATTTGTACGGTAAACAATGGTCGTCCATTGCCAGAAAAGTCTTGACAAGCCTCAGCCACTTGTCACAATGTCACATGTCACCAGTACCCTTACCTTCCTCAGGTCACACTGTTTATTACATTGACTATATGTGTTAATACATGCATAGTTACGATATATTTTCTTCCAATTTCCATTTCATACAATTGCAAAGTTGTGTATTATCATTGTATTGTGGTTTTAATGTATATTACTCAAGGCTCCAAATGAAAGTTCATGTGCCTTACACCACGATACCAAAAAATATTTGAATTTTTTTTATGTAAGGCTTAACCATGATAAAATGTTCAATGGTTATTTTAATGAATGTATATAATTGAAGGATGCAGAGATATGTAGGATGTCTCATTGTTTTTATATGGTAGATGTAACATATGTTATGTAAAATATTTTACTCAAAAGAAGTTTAAAACTCCTGATATTTTTATAGTTAATCTCACAATGCATGACGGATTAACTACGATATATAGTGGGTGTTCTTTAACTTCTTAAGGGGCACAGGGCGGTGGGGTAGCCTTGTGGTTAAAGTGTTCACTTGTCACACTGAAGACCTGGGTTCGATTCCCCACATGGGTACAATGTGTGAAGCCCATTTCTGGTGTCCCCCGCTGTGATATTGCTGGAATATTGCTAAAAGCGGTGTAAAACCATGAACACCTTTTATGGACAGTTCATTCTTCTAAGGAACCACAATTCTTGTCCAGATTTGATTATTTACAGACTTGGTCATGATGTTGGAAAATCGTTGAGTGTAGCATTAAACAACAAACAATTGACTGAAATGCTCTTAATCATATTATCTTGACCTAACACAGAAACAAACTTTGTCAAAAAACTCCAAACAGTGACAGTCAATATTAGAGAGTGACTTTTTAATATATTGCTTGAAAATCATATCTGTGTATATACCTTAGTGTTGAAGTTACAGATTTGATCGTGAACAAATGTGTTGTTGATATATTGAAGGATATGTTGGAACAATCCTTGTTGTATACTTTGGATATCCATATTTGTTTGTGATTATGCTACAAAAGGCTTTCATGTGTTAATGTTTGCCAAAATGTGCCATGTATTGATATGTTGGTGAACATTGGCACGGCTTATTAGTCACCATAGCAATGACTGTTTTACATCTTTCTTGGTTGAGATTTCCTTATGCAGTATTCATGGTGTTGAAGTTTGTGTTGGAGAAGCAAGGTTCCAGATTGTTCAGTTTTTGCCAGTAAATTATGTTATTTCCATATCTGAAAATTGATGCATGTCAGTATGAGAAATGTTTGGTCTTTGTAATACATTTGTCAGCATACGTAAAACATGTACGTTGAGTCGAGTGTCTATCTCGGTTATATTGCATACAATTTTAATTTTAATGTGTTTTGCTAGTATCGACTAGAGTGATATTCTAGAAGCAGTTGTGGGAGTCAGACAAGCAACACAGACATACAAAATACAGAAACGTGGATTCATGTCAGTATTATCCTCGGCAACCTTAGCTTATAAGAGGTGACCAATGGATCAGATGGACAGACTTTTTGATTTGATTGCTTGTCATGATAACAAGATGGCATTGATAAGTGCAGGGGGGTTATTCAAAATGCACATGTAGTGTACACAAGCAGTAGAGTAACGTCACACCATATATACCAATATGCACAAAAAGTGGGATACACTTAATAATAATAATAATAATAATAATAATGTGGGTATTTATATAGCGCTACATCCAGGTACTAATACCCGCTCATGGCGCTACAATACTATAGGAGAAATGAAAATAGTTAAAACTATTTACAGAGAGACAATTGAACATAGAAAGTCTAGTAATAGGCAAGACGAAAAAAGTGGGTTTTTAGAGACGATTTAAATGTGTCCAAAGATTCAGCATTCTTGATGTGAGTGGCATCACATTGGTGATAATGATATCTATGTCCAATATTCCAGTATGAGGTAAATGTTATATTTACTCAGTGTGATATTGGACTATGTTGAGTGACTGTAAGCTGTGGTTTGGCTGGGATTGGGGGTTGTTAGGACTTGGATTGAGGGGATATTAGGCCTTGGATTTGGGTCGGGGCTGTTGGTGTTTAATTAGGGTAGTGATTTGGGGGGGATATTCGAGCTAGGACTGGGGGTTTATTAGAGCTGGGATTGGGTAGATAATAGGACTGGGATTGGGTGGATAATATGACTGGATTTGGGGAATATTAGGACTGGGATTATTAGGACTTGGGTACCAGGTCAGGTGGTCCAGGCTCACCATGTGATTTCCCTGACCATGGGTAAGTCATTCATGATATATTTTGTGCAAGAACAAAACTCAGTGGTTAAACTACAGGTCACTGATGTTGGCATATCTCTGAAGCAGCCATTCCTTCTGCCTTTCACATACCTGGGTGAAGACGAGGCTTCAGTTAATTCCAGTATCCATATGTATCTAGTCAGATATTTTGTACCTCATGCTTGAGAGCTACACCAGGTACCTGGGTAGGGTAAGGCAATAGGAAGATGGGCAGCCAGGTTGGGGATTTGGACTCAGTGTTGACTTGTTTCATGCTTGCCATGTATGTTTCAGTTTTAATGAAGGAGTCATTAAACACACAACCAAACTTTAATTGGCCCCCACACCACCATTCAGATGGCACCGACCCACACACATCATACCTGTTGCTCATCGCTTTCATCCACTTGTATTCAGATATATCCCAGAAACCTGAAATCCATATTGCCCCCAAGCTTCCTGTTTGAGTGTGTTCTTATATAACACTAAACTATATCACTGCTGTATTGATATTTGTGAAGTGAGCTTCCTAATTCATCTATTTTCATACGTGCCATGTCCTTGTACATTTGATAACCTTTTCCACTTGAAGATGAATAAACAGGTATTTGAAGTGATAACCTGTGTTTGAACACTGGGGGATCCTAGGTTATATATACTGGACAAAAATAGTTAGGGATATATGTAAATTTTGAAATTATGAATAATGATCTATTTATTCATTGACACACTGATAAGATATAAATCATAAAAATACCAATATCCCTAACTTATTTTGTCCAGTATATATATACCCAGCAACCAATGGAGGTTGCTGTAAGAGACAACATTATGAATTGGATTGACTTCGTGAGTTGGATAACAGCGTCGTCCCACCCTAATGCGTTTGATCGTTGTTTGAGTGAATGGAGTATCTGGTCCAGACTCTATTCTTTGCCAACAGTGAATGGTTGGCCCAGACTCTATTCTTTGCGGACAGTGAATGGATTATCTGGCCCAGACTCTATTCTTTGCGGACAGTGAATGGAGTATCTGGCCCAGACTCTATTCTTTGCCAACAGTGAATGGATTATCTGGCCCAGACTCTATTCTTTGAGGACAGTGAATGGTTGGCCCAGACTCTATTCTTTGCGGACAGTGAATGGATTATCTGGTCCAGACTCTATTCTTTGCCAACAGTGAATGGTTGGCCCAGACTCTATTCTTTGCGGACAGTGAATGGAGTATCTGGCCCAGACTCTATTCTTTGCGGACAGTGAATGGATTATCTGGCCCAGACTCTATTCTTTGCGGACAGTGAATGGATTATCTGGCCCAGACTCTATTCTTTGCGGACAGTGAATGGAGTATCTGGCCCAGACTCTATTCTTTGGACAGTGAATGGATTACAGTGAATGGATTATTCTGGCTAAGACTCTATTATTTGCCCAGACTCTAACAGTGAATGGATTATCTGGCCCAGACTCTATTCTTTGCGAACAGTGAATGGATTATCTGGCCCAGACTCTATTCTTTGCCAACAGTGAATGGATTATCTGGCCCAGACTCTATTCTTTGCCAACAGTGAATGGATTATCTGGCCCAGACTCTATTCTTTGCTAACAGTGAATGGATTATCTGGCCCAGACTCTATTCTTTGCAGACAGTGAATGGATTATCTGGCCCAGACTCTATTCTTTGCCAACAGTGAATGGATTATCTGGCCCAGACTCTATTCTTTGCGGACAGTGAATGGATTATCTGGCCCAGACTCTATTCTTTGCGGA